ATGTCTGGCAGCCCACCTCTCCAAACAGAGGTTTCGCTCTCCGTCCTTTCACCCAAGCTACAATATTGCATTGCAGGCTTCCATGCCCACAGAAGCCGCAGGCAATGAAGGGGAATGAGGCACACAATTTTGCAGTGCAATGAGGTCACATGATCACGTTTCCCCTTCCTAATCATTATGCAAGAGGGAGGAGGGGGGAGGATGGGCCTGCTGTGTGCAATGTGCAGTTTGGGCTGAAATCAGCCAGAATCATATGGCAAGCTGAATTCAGTCTTTAGAATAACATTTACACCCTGGTGGAAAAGCAAAAGAGAGCTTCGCAAGCTGCGTGGAAAGTGTCAGTGGAAAGGAGCCAAGAAAAGCACCTGTTAATTGCCTCCTAGCAAGAGCAGGTTCCACACAAGCTGACTAAGAAGATGGCAGCCAGAGAGGTCACCCTGGAAAATACTCAACCTTAATGAGGAGATCATCATCCAGACATGAAATATATATTTACTTGTAAACATTGTCATGGCTGGGATCATCACACTCCTCTTGTACCTCAAATATGTTCACAGCCAATACATTGAAGTGTCAAAGCTTACTGGCAGGTATTTTTCTATTGTAGATAATCCCTTGTCTGCTGCTGTTTGTGTGACTGCATTTAGGAAGTACCAGTGCACTGACAGGCTTTTACCTGTTGAAACACAATGTATAGGAGACATGAGGATTTTATTGTTGATCAAAGATGTTAATTAAATTGTCTCAAAATCCATAACTGGAATTAGCTAGGGCTTGGGGGGTTTCGGATTAAGAACAAGACAAAGCTGGGGAAAACAAAAACCCAAGCGACGCAATATGCACTCTTGTGCTTTAGAGATTTGGGCCAGTAAAAAGAGCTGGGGGGAGCCAGCAACCCTAATTGTGTAGAGCAGGCATGGCCAAACTTGGCCCTCCAGCTGTTTTGGGACTACAACTCCCATCATCCCTAGCTAACAGGACCAGTGGTCAGGGATGATGGGAACTGTAGTCCCAAAACAGCTGGAGGGCCAAGTTTGGCCATGCCTGGTGTAGAGAAACACATGGATAAATTTTATCAAAGCTATCTCAATTAGCTGGAAATCAGGTCACCATTGAAGATCCCATTTCAATAGAAAAACTATAGGACAGAATTCCTAATGCAGGTGGTTTGAAAAGGAGTCCAGTTCATGGCATCTTGGTGAAGTCCAACTCTGCTGGACTGAAGTCATGGTGCTGTTTTAGGCCACTGAGCATGAGAACTTGTTCCAGGGGTTGAACTTCAGTATGATAATATTCTGAAGGCCAATCCCACAACTGATGGATAGATATTAGTACATAGAGTTTCAGAGACACAATGAGATGGAAGAGTCTTGGGCAGAAGGCAAGATCTATGACTGAGAAGCAATTATTCTTGAACTCTCTATACACTGAAGCACTGAGGTCACTGCCCTTCACACTAAAGCACATGTTTGTAATAGATATAATGGTTCTGCCAGCTAAGGCTGGACTTGCATCTCAAGCGTGAAGCCATAAAAATGAAATAAGAATTTAAGCTGGAAAAGGACATCTAGATAGGGGCTGGGCTGGGGGAAAGAGAGTAAAATACCACATAATTAATTGTAGCTTAGAAAGTATAAGACACAAGAGAAAAATCCAAATATATGTATCAGTTTCTCTTATTATTTTTGGAGAGCACATGGTAGAGGTCTAATACATTTTTTTCCATTCTGTTGACCATTTTGTAAGTGGCCTCCGTGAGTCAATGTCATGGAAAAATCCAAGAGCAGCAACATGGAGTGTCACTGATACCAATGGGGGCACCATTGGCACTTCTGATTTGCTTTGCTGCTGTTAACAGAGCCTTGACACAGGAGACGTCTTTGAGCGAGAAGTGGGTGAGTGCTTCTTTGTCAAAGAGAATTGCTATGTGGTGTATTTGAAATCATCATGATTAAGGTCTGGACATTAAAAAAACAACAGCACACACATAGGAGAAAATATTCAGCCAATTGTATTATTGCTGCATTTCTTAACACATTCCCATTTTTGTGGGGTGGGAACCATTCAGTGTAGTTTGGCCAACAGGAAACAACTGGGTGAGGAAGTGCATCAAAAGAGTAAATCAGTCAACCCAGTAGGATTGCAATGTAATGCAAACGGGAAAGTGTGTTAGCGTCTGCACTAAATGTGCAGTAGGCTCTTTCCATGTTAGACCTCCTTTGCTGGATTGGATGAGAGCATGTAATTCAATGCATTTGGGCACAACTCACTTCAGGACAAAGATATTGCAGGTCCACTTACAGAGCAACCCTAAGCATGTCTACTCAGAAGTAAGTTCAACTGAATTAATGAGAAGTTTGTTTAGGCTTGCAGTTTTACTACTCTGATACATTCAAAGCATGTTGTCTCATATTCTTAATGAATTGCCACAATAAGTAGAGTATAATTATTTGTCTATGAAGAAGGTGCTGTGCCAAAATATACTGGGAATATCATACTTTCTAATAAATTTCTACCCATTTAATAACATGGAACCTTGGCATCTCTTCTTTTTGTTGGTTCCTAATGCTTTGGTAGGGGACGCAGGTGGCGCTGTAGGTTAAACCACAAAGCCTAGGACTTGCTGATCAGAAGGTCGGCGGTTCGAATCCTCGCGATGGGGTGAGCTCCTGTTGCTCGGTCCCTACTCCTGCAAACCTAGCAGTTCGAAAGCACAAAGTACAAGTAGATAAATAGGTACCGCTCTGGCGGGAAGGTAAACGATGTTTCCGTGCACTGCTCTGGTTCGCCAGAAGTGGCTTAGTCATGCTGGTCACATGACCCGGAAGCTGTACGCCGGCTTCCTCAGCCAGTAAAGCAAGATGAGCGCCGCAACCCCAGAGTCGGTCACGACTGGACCTAATGGTCAGGGGTCCCTTTACCTTTACCTAATGCTTTGGTGCTGCCCCTTCCTTTTCCTGCACATGCTAATTCAACCTTCTTTCATCCACAGCTTCTCTTTGTTATCCCGTTTTTGCTCCTGATCACATAGAATTGCGCAGAAATGCTCCACAGACATGCATGCCTTGGAAGAGAAACTAGGCGTAGCCTTTCTCCAGATTTCATAGTGAAAGTTAAGAGGTGTAGGCATTTAAACAAAATGACTAATGAACAGATCTATTTTCCTGGTGTAGTACTGTATACCCTTTGATATTAGTCATTATTCTACCTGGCTTTAATTGCATATGTAGATTGATATGTTCAAGATTGATGAAGCACTTAATTCTCAACAAAGGAGGTAGTTAAGAAGACACATTTTCCACCAATGAGTTTGATAGATAATTTAATTAATGTCATACATAATGTGACCCCTGTTTCATGAGAGATGAGACAGAGAAGAAGGTCACAGGTAGAAAAAAAATGATAATCCCTGGAAGTTTAGAAAGCCTTTTGTTCAGACTCCTATGGCAAACAGAGGAGACCTGCTTCCCCAAACCATCAGAAACCAACAGAGTTGATTACTGATAGACTAAGCCATCATCCCCAACAATTGACCATGCTGGCTGGAGGTGATAATCCATCTGGCTTTAGGCCTGGATTCAAAACTGATGGCTTGTCCACACTTCTGCTCGCCCTGCCACTTTCCCCAAGGGAAAACCCGCTGCTTAATGCTGAATTGGAGCAAACTTCAATCAGGTTTTCCAAGGATTGAGGTTTCCTCCAATTTGGCAGTAAGGAGCAGGTTTTCCCAGGGAAAGTGGCAGGACAAATGGAAAGTTGCTTTCTAGACAGAGCAAGCAAGGTATGGATGAGCTCTGAAAACATCTTGATCTTTCTGATTGATTACCTTTATTGTGACATGGAGAGGGGTGCAACTCTGTTGGTTCTGGGTATCCTCCTCAACAACTCTACAGCTTGGGAACTGGGGGCACCATAAAACTATGGCTCCACACTTATCTGCCAGATGAGTACCAGAGGATAGCACTGGGAGACTTCTGTTCAGGGCTGTTATCTAGGGATTTGAATCAGGAGAGGCTCTTCAGAGGCTGGAACAGGAGCAGAAGGCAATGATGGGCTGGATGGGGAATCCAGTTTCCCAGAGGAAGGTGTTTCTGTTAACTGGGTAGTTGCCAATGCCTAGGAAAATGTTCTTCCTTTCACTGACAGCAGCTTTTAAAAGTTTATTTATTTAACTTATTTATGGTCAGCCCTTCACCTCATGGTCCCAGGAATGGAGACACATCATATATTATACATCATTTCAGAATAGTAAAATCACAGAAAGCACTATAAATTTTTGATCATTAATTAGATATCTGGAAAACAGAAATGTGGCCATTCTGGATGGGTTTTTGGATGCTGGGACGGGGGAGGAGAATTATAGTGTGGAATGAAATGTGCATGATTTGAAAAGCATTGTCAGCAGGTACATATTGGTGATATCCAATGTCGTGCTATTAGATGTGGCAGGGCTTCCCCTTTCTCCCCCCACCCCTGCAGTCCCAACCCAAACCCTACTCCATGCTCCAGACAGTCTTCCAGTCCTTCAGAGCAGATATTGAGAGTGTGCAGCGGCTGCAGGTAGGGAGAGGAAGAAAAGGAGGTCCATTGCACTAGTGAGCTGATGCCACTGGATGTCACCCGCTATGTTTGTATTTAGAATAAATTCTATCCACTAACCAAAGAAGAGCTCGAGGCAGCTCTCAGCTTCCAACAAACAACCATCAACAATTAAACAATTAAAAGAATAAAAATAAATAAAAACAGGAACAGCATGGAAGAGGAATGAAAACATCACAGTCAGCTTAAAATACCAAGGTTAATAAAAAGCTCGCCTGAGCAAAATTGTATCCTGGCAACAGAAGCTAAAAAGAGACAGGAGCAGAAGAGTCTTCCATGAAAGAGAGTTCCACAACTGAGGTGGGGCTACAGAAAAGTCCTCTTCTACTAGCACACACTTTTGTTGATACCATAACTGCGTTGCCTGAGGTTTCTGTGAACTTGGGATGTAGCACACTGCAACCTTTTTCTCTCAGTTGGTTAGAGCGTGGAGCTGATAATGCCAAGGTTGCAGGTTCGATCCCTGTCGAGGACAGCTGCATATTCCTGCATTGCAGGCGGCTGGACTAGATGATCTTCAGAGTCCTTTCCAACTCTATATCAGAGAGAGAAAGGGAGAGAAGAGGGAGAAAATTGATTTTCTATGCAAAATATTGAGCAGCTGTTCACCTGCAATTTAATTTATACTCTATACTTAGTCTGATGTTGCTCACTCCCTCTTGCACAATGCTTTTGGAAAAGCTAGTATTGAACACTCTGCAAGTGATATTCATTTACAGTATTAGAGGGACTCATTTTTGCTGTCATTAACTTGGCTCTCAAACCATGAAATACATCACTGGGCAGGTGACCCTGCAGAGATGCCCACAGACCCCCAACACATGCAGAGTGCAGCGTCTTCAGTCAGAGGTGAGATCAGGCTGTACTGCTGATCTTTGCGATCCGGCAAATGTCACTGGCTTCCGGGGAGTGAGCGTTCAGTAATCTTTTAGTCCACTCTGCTTTTTGCTCATGGATATATGCTAGGACTGTATGAAACCATATCATCTAACAGCTATAGGTTAGGATGTATATTCATGGTTTTGGTGGCGACTGGTGCCTCCAAATTACAATAGTGAAGAGAGGCTCTCTCCACAGCCCCATAGTGAAGCATCTCCCAAACATATCAGCAGAGAGTTCAGCTCAGGCACAACATCTATACCTTCCCACCTCCCTTACAGATCCTCTCAGGTACTGAGTACAGCAGAGGGGTCTCTTGGGAGTTCCACTGCCCTCAAACTTTTTTGGGGGTGGGGATAGCAGCCAGGGATAAGCTGGTGGTATTCCCTCCCCAAAGAAATGCACCTGGCTCCTTCATTATGGTGTTTTCGTTGTATGCTGAAGATGCACCTCTTTAGCCTGACTAGCGATACACATTTTAGGACCCACTTTGTTCATTTGACTGTAATCTGTTTCAACTATTTTTAATATACTCAGATTGTTGTAATCCCCTCAGAGGCCTCAATGTTTATTTTATTTAGGAGCATTTATACCTTGCCTACCAACCTAAGTTCTCAAGGCAGCTTACAATATATTTTAAACACAATAAAATAGACAGTGACACAATAGCCACCTCATCAGGGCAAAGGTGTAGCTCAGTCTTCCCGCTCCCTTTGTTATCTGATGTTATCTGGCATTCTGCAGCTGAATCTCCTGGCTGTTGAAGCAGCAAGATGTTCAGCTCATGATGAAGAGCAGGTAAGAAACCTAAAACAACAACAACAACAACCACCATTTACTGAGTTAGAATTATGGTCTGCAAAATCTACTTGATCTCCAGCAGTTGCTAAAAACAGATCAAATGCTTCTGAAGTAGTACCAGACCAAATCAAGAATGCTTTTTGTTTGGGATACCCAATGTAAACACAACAGGAAATGGAACTGAACATATGGGTCTGGACATGAATGACCAGAGATACCATACACACACAGTGGTACTATATATATATAGTACCAGAGATACTATATATATATATACATATATACACATACAGTGGTACCTCAGGTTACATACGCTTCAGGTTACATACATTTCAGGTTACAGACTCCGCTAACCCAGAAACAGTGCTTCAGGTTAAGAACTTTGCTTCAGGATGAGAACAGAAATCGTGCTCCAGCGGCGCAGCAGCAGCAGCAGGAGGCCCCATTAGCTAAAGTGGTGCTTCAGGTTAAGAACAGTTTTAGGTTAAGTACGGACCTCCGGAATGAATTAAGTACTTAACCTGAGGTACCACTGTGAATATATATATATATATATATATATATATATATATGCTGTAATTTTTCTGTATTAGGGAGAAATCTTAATAAAAAAGCTTTTTATAAAATGGAGTGCTTTTTGTTACAGAAATAAGTTTAACCTGCAAAAAATGTTATGTTTGAATGCATTGTATTTAAAATGCTACACAGAGAGGTTTGTATTAGACAAGAGAGCAAATGCAGCAAAGGAAGGTTAGATGTTTCCATTTGAGGGTTTAGGCTAATTTAGGGTTGCCATATGTCCAGAATTTCCCGGACACTGTAGGAACCAGTGTCCGGGTGGGGGGAAAATAAGCTCAATGTCAACAACTTTAGGCCAAAAACCCCACCAAAAAACAGAAACTCAACAACTTTGCCAAAAAGTTGTGTCCAGATTTTCACTTATTGAAATATGGCAACCCTAGACTAATTGATGATTTATCACCAGAAACCAAAACTGCAATGTCTGTCGGCAGGAGGATGAAACCTGCAAACTCAGCATCTTAGTCAGTCACGGAAGCTCCACAGTGATGAACAAGCTCTCTCTGGGACCAGAGAGAGGAAAACTATAAAGAAGAAGAAAGAACTAAAAGAAGATGGGACCACATTGCTTGCTGTTAAAGAGCAATGTGTTATTTTGTATTTTGCGACATTTTAAGCCTGTTCTGCAGTCAAGCTTTGAAACACTTTCTTCTGGTGGAGAATTTATCATTTCTACTCTGCACAAGGTCCAGACCAGAGATTTCATTTGAAAAACTCTTTCCTTTCGCTTAGTAGCAATTTCACCAAAATAAAAAAGGGAGGACCCATCGCCTTGCCATCCCTTTCTCAAAGCCCTTGGGGAAGGGGCAGCTCAGCTCCATCCATTCTACTCCCCCAGCTCTCTTTTTCCAAAGTCCCTCAGAGCTGGGTTCCATATAGCTAGCAAGCAAATACTGTGTGTTGGTGTATTTATGTATTTGCTTTTAAAAATATGTTCAAGAAGCCGTGGGGTGCATGAAAGAGAAACAGTTCTCACACACACTTGTATAAATATGTATGCTAAATATATGTACCAAACTGCAAAAAATAACCCACAAATAATAGCAAAATCCACAAACATTGCAACTCCCACATGGCACTGAATAATTTAGCAGAGTACTGATAGTTCCTAATAGCATACTGCACATTTTGATTATGTTAGGAAGGTGAGTCTTATGAGTTGGTGTTAGCCTTACTCAAAGAGCTTCAGATTCCCTACAGTATTTTATTTATTTATTTATTGTTTTGTTTCTTAAAATCTAAACTGCACATGGGTTCCAGGGCAGTGTACATTAAAATGCAAATACCCATAAAATATTAAAAGAAAGCAAAGTTGTTTTAATACTACCTCGATCCACCTGCCCATAAGATCAGCAACAGCCGCCCTTCCCACCTTCCCCAGCAGTTAGACTGGGAGAGGATCTTCTTTGCAGTGGTCTCTGGAATGCCTTCTCACGGGGAGAGTTAGCATGGCGTTCTAGGACTTACTTTCTGGTATGTGCCCGATCATTCTCACAGTTTCCATTCCATTCCATATTATAGTTCTATCTTGGCTGGTGCTGAGCAGAGCCTCTCCTGTGGGAAGTCTTGACGTGCAGAGCTCATAGCTGTGGGGTGGGAACAGCCTTTCCTTAGCAATACAGTGGTACCTCAGGTTAAGTACTTAATTCATTCCGGAGGCCTGTTCTTAACCTGAAACTGTTCTTAACCTGAAGCACCACTTTAGCTAATGGGGCCTCCCCCTGCCGCTGTGCCACCGGAGCACGATTTCTGTTCTCATCCTGAAGCAAAGTTCTTAACCGAGGTACTATTTCTCGGTTAGCGGAGTCTGTAACCTGAAGCGTATGTAACCCGAGGTACCACTGTATGTGAAGGGGGAAAACATGCATCCACACATGAAACGGCCTGATCCTGGTCTCTCTTGCTCAACCATGCTACAAAAAAACGTGCTCTGGAGTTCTGGGGCTCAGAGGAACTTGGCCAGTTGGTGTGTTTCTGTGTACTCTTTCTATGAGTGGATGCATATTACCATGCCTGCCTTCTTTCTTCCTGAAAGAAAAGACAAGGAACCAATTAAAATATTATAAAAAATACAGCTTTCTATTCAAATAATATATTGCCTACTTTTTATGCCCTTTATGCGCGTGCCGCACTGGGTATTGAACCCGAGTGAAAGAAAGCAAAGTTTTGCCCCTGCTTGGCATCCAGGAATTCTTTTTAAAAAACCTTTCTTTTCCCACCAGCAGCAACTTCCTCCATGTCATTTCTTTTTATGGTTTAAGAAAACTGGGCCCAACCCAAGGTGGGGGGAAAAAGCCTTTCACCATGTTATGGTTCTTTAATGGGGAAGATGGAGAAATGCTATTGGGTGACAGAGAAAAGGCGGAACTAAACACCTGTGTCTTCACCCCAAAGGAAAGTGATGCCAGCCTGGTGAAAACAGAATAAATGATGTAAAGAGGGAGCTGCAGCCCAAGATAGGAAAAGAGGCAGTAAGGGAACACCTAGCTATTTTAAATGAATTCAAATCTGCAGGGCCTGATGAGCTGCATCCAAGGGTACTAAAGGAGATTGCAGATGTAATTTCAGAGCCTTTGTCTATTATCTTTGAGAATTATTGGAGAACAGGTGAGGTGAGAACATGGCAAATGTCCCCATCTTCAAAAAAAAGGGGGGTAAAGGAAGACCAGGGAACTACTGACCGGTGAGCTTGACATTGATACCAGGGAAGGTCCTAGAGCAGATAATTCAACAGTCGGTCTGTGAGCATTTTGAAAAGGATGCTGTGATTACTAAGACCCAGCATGGCTTTCTCAAAAATAAGTCATGCTAGACCAATCTATTTTCTTTTTGTGATGGAATTACAAACTTGGTGGATCAGGGAAATGCTGTGGGCATAGTGTATCTTGATTTCAGTAAGGCTTTTGACAAAGTCCCCATGATATTCTTGCGAAGAAGCTGGTAAAATGTGGGTTGAACGAGGTAACCGTTGGGTGGATTTGTAGCTGGTTATCTGACTGACTCCAAAGAGTACTCATTAATTGGTTCCTCATTATCCTGGAAAAACGTGACAAGTTGGATACCACAGGGTTTTGTCCTGGGCCTGTTGTTGTGCAACATCTTTATAAATGACTTGGATGAAGGAATTGAGGGAATGCTCCCTCAATGCAAATTTGCAGATGACACCAAACTGGGATGGATAGCTAATGCCACAGGAAACAGAGTCAGAATTCAAAG